TTAATAAATTTCAAACAAATTTTATAGAAAAACTAAAATTGGTATACGGTTGATGTGATTAAAGAGGTGTTCCGGTAAAGCAATTAATTTAAAATATGCGATTGAATAGAAATGTATAAATTTGAAAGAAGAAAAACATAAAATTCATAAAAACATTCAAATGTCTTTATAATTAAAAAGTTACGAAGTCTGTCCAAAGAATCTTAATAAAGATCGAATGCCAGAATTTTTGGATTTGATATCTTGTAATATTTACATTGCTATTTGAAATGCCACAATTATTTCGATAAATTCAACCGTATTAAATAAAATATTTAATTAGTGTTATAAATGTACCCTTACTTTTATTGTTGATACATTTAGAATTCAATGAATATTTTCTTCTCACCATCTTTCTGTTCCTCTATTTTCTCATATTATTTAAATGAGCAGCCACTCTAAATGAAAACACAATAACCAGTAATACCATTTCGATTTTCAATTAATTTTCATTTTTGGAATTCTATACCAGTAATACCTATATTGCACAAAATAAAATTCCATTCAGATCATTCAAATTCAATCAAATCATTTTCTAAATTTTTATTTTAAATTGCATTTAATAAAATTTATAATAGATATTGAAAATTTTTAGACACGAACATTATCATTTCAACAATTTATGCAATCAATGATTTTGTATACAAGTATACGAGAACGTCATGAAAAAAAAAACGTCATGTTGCTCTCAAAACCTAATTAAAAATTTTTGTATTGAATAGAATTTCTAAGAAATCAAACAGTTTTAACACAAAAGCCAATTTAATCGACTTTTATTTTTTAATGTTAAAATTTCTGACTGAGTTTTCTCTTATTTTCATCGTGAATTTTTATAATCTATAATATAGCTAGAATTTTTTATTTTTTTTTTTGTTTTAAAGGGCGAAAAAATTAACCAACTTTATCGAATAATTAAACTTTTTTATACTCTTTTATATTTTCTGTTCATTTTGGTAAATTTTCTTTCATTTTTTGTTTTTCGTTTTGTCGGAAAAGGATATTGAATTTCTTCTTTATATTTATTCCATTTCCAATTTTAATTTTTTTATATTTTTAGTTGGTTTTCATTTTTCTTTTTATGTTTTTTTTTTTTACGAAATTCATTGTTCAAAATTAACCAGTTGTTGTTCAAAAAGCAACAGAGAGAAAATGAAAAACTTTTATACTTTAATTTTTTTTTCTTCTTGTTTCTTTACTTTTAATAAAAATTACCAAGATTGTTTTATATAATAATTATATTTATAGCAATCTACCACGCTACAATGCCACACTACAGTATCCCATTTATCCTTCATCATTCTTTTAAAGAACTTTATTGCTAATGTATAAAAGAGGTGAAAAAGAAAGAATAAAAAAAAAGTAGAATAGGAGACGTATAGAGAGCAAAAAACTGTAAAAGAGAAAACAACAAAGTCATTCTCACCTTTCTGGATTTCACTTTAATTTTTTAGCAAATTTACCATTGTGAGTGTTTTTAAAATATACTTATAATGTTGTAACAGTTTAGCTTTCTTATACTGTTTGAGTAAAATTTTGTAAATCTTGATTTATACAAATTTGAGGTTTGGTTGCTTCACTGTTACTCCATAATTGTTCCTACTATTTGGTCCATATAGTGAAAACATTTTTTAGTTATGAATAAAAAGGACATTTTGCTTAAATTGACTTAAAAAATTTCCATTATACGCGCATAGTTTAAAAATTCCCAAAAAAATGATCTAAAACGAAATGGAAAATTGTTTTTCTAATTAAAGAATTTTGTGTTATTTTTGATTCACCTCAATCAAATTAACGATATTTTATAAAATTATGGTGAAAATTCTTTTAGTTTTATACAGACACTTTCTAAATAAAGAAATGGCGATCTCTTTCTTTAAGAGTGTTTAGTTTTTTAGTATTTTTATTTTTTCTTTTTCATATACTTTTTGTGTTGTAAGTAAAGAAAAGGTATCTTAATGAAGAATGACAACTAATAAAGATGAGAAAAATGAATCAAGTCTTTTAATTTCAATTTATATAAAGAATGTGAGAGGAAAACAAAAAAAAAAAATCAGCAAATGTTTGCATTAAAATTGCTTATATTGACCGTTTCGAAAATTTTCAAAGTATTTTTTGGTATTAAGTAAAGTTTTGTTGAATTAGAAATTAAAAATAATATGAAAAAATCTGTCAGTCTTATTTCTAATTGCATACTTCGGGTCAAATATGACTCTGAATATAAATTATGTTGAAATTTGATTTTACAAAGAAAATAACGAATTCGTCAGATTTAATTTTAAAAGACGTGTTGCGTATTTTTAGGCCTATCCTTAAGATTTTTTTTATTTATTTGGGATAATTAAAGTGATTTTTTTACTAACACTTGAGTAAATTTTCTGATTAGTTCTAAAAATCTTTAAAAGTTATTCACTATATTATTTTTTTTTGCTAAAAATTCAGGGCAAAACCGAAAAAAAAAATAATTTTTGGCATCGAACGCTTCTTGAGACCATTTTTCATCTCTGCGGTTGTCCGTGTTCTGGGCGAAGCAAGACCGGTCATGTAACGCAGATGTGTTAATGTGCGATGGGACTGGACGATATATAGAAAATTAGTATCGGAGATTCGGATAGATTCCTCAAGAGAACTAATTGGCTTAAATAGGCCATTTGTAACTGTACGCTTAATGACGGCCTGTTGATCACGGGATAGTGGTAGCAAAATGGCACATTGGGGTGTGGTAAATTATATAAGTATCCGAACATTTGTTTTTAGTCCCAAAAAAAAAAAAAAATATTTTCTAATTGAAAAACATAACTAAAATCTTAAATCATAAATCCAACACGATTTTAAAGTAAGCAATTGCACGGCGGAATGCCGGTCATTATAAAATATGTAGGTGAAAAGTTTCTAACAACAAATCTTGTTTTAATCCTAGAACTTCAATCGAAGATGAAGCTTTCCTTTATAGGACATTACTTTACATAAATCTTTTTAAATTTATTTGGTTTAGACATCTGCCCATTTACAAAATACATTATAATTAATTGAGGAATGTTAACGAAAAAAAAAAGAAAAAAATCAAATGTAAGGAAATGAAATAAACTGTAAATGAGCTTAGTAAACTTAAACTTGATGAATGAATCACTTTTATATTTTATTCATTAGTTATTTTCACATTCAAACAAAAGTCCATCTTTTTATTTTTACTCTTAATTTTCTCTTTAATGGACGCTGTAACACCTCGAATACTTTGATGTTATTAGAAAGTAGCAAATTGTTGAAAACATATAAAGAATTTTTGTATATCGCAAAACTTTCTTATTTTTAGATTCTTAAATATGTTAGCATTTAAAATTTTATTTCTTTTACTGTTTAAACAAAAATTGATTATTTATTTTCAATTCAAAATAGCAAAAAAGCTTGTACAGAGTGTATTATAAATAGAATGATAAAATATTCAATGATTTTTTTTATAAACTAAGGCTATCACAATTTTCAATTTCTGCCGCCAATTCATTATAAATTTTGCATGCAACGTTGTACACTAAGTCGACGTAAGAAAGTAAAATTTCACGGTGTATTTGCCTTGTGGTTAACGATGTCATGCTTATTAAACCTATAGCTCTTGACGATTGAATTCTTATTTTATCAGTATTTCTTGCATTACTTAATATGTTTGAGTATTTTTATTAACATTTGGATTGATATTCGTGTTTGTATTGTTGATTATTATTAAATTTACCTGTATCGCAAGTTTATTATATTATATAAGTTAATTTATGGGTAGTATTTGTTTTTCATAATAAATCAATTTGAAGTCTTATTTTCGTAACCTTACTAATTTTTAATGGCCATATTCTACTTTTTTTGTAATAAACTAATATGTTTCAAAAATCTGTTTCCCGTATTAGGTGATTTGATTCGAAAATAACACAACAATTTGCATTTTATTAAAAATAAAATATTTAAAACACGGAATCAGATTTTTGACCAAAGTCAAAGTGTATGACAATTAAAACTATTATCATTATAGTTCTTAAGATTCATTAATCATTCTATTTAGTCAGTTTGAAATTAAATACTAAAAACAAATATCAAATATTTTTTATAATATTCCGAAAATATTTGAAGAATTTTTTTATTATTTAAATTTCATTACCAATGAACTTTTTTTAAATGGTTCCATTTACATAACACATAAATCAAAACACAAAGTAATGTTCAGAAAATTATTTACATTTTCTGTTTCTCTATAAATTTTATGGGAATACTAAGTATATAGGTTTATAGATTATAGTATAAGTAGCTATACATAATTACGTATGTATGTAAACCGGTTGTATTGAAATTTCTTGAATTTTTTTACAGTTTTTCACATAGTATCTTTTAAAACATTTTGATTTACATAAGAGATGAATGTTTATTTAAAAAAAAGAAACTGTGCGATATTTTTGTAATTGTTTTTTAATTACTTAGTTCACTGAACTCATTAGATAAAAACAAAAAAGAATATTTATAAATATGGCTCTAATGTTCGATCTGTAATAATCTTTTTCAACACGTTCTAAGTATTTTTTTTTTCATATTCAATTTATAATTTAATGATAAATAAAAAGTAAACCATTTAACAATAAATGGGTAGATGTTTTTTGTATAACATCATTATTTGTCGAATGTTTCTATGTCCTACCTTATAAAATTTTGAAATTTATTGCGTTTATATCGAAATTACTCAAAACAGTTACGTATAACAGAATTAGAACCAACTTGTAGGTGTTTGTTTTTGTAAATTTCGAATTTTTTCAAATTAACAACACTAAGAGATTGAATTTAATAAATCAAAAATTTTCTTTTACAAATAAAAGAAATGTATGTATCAATAATTTCATTTAATTTAGGTCAGGGCTAATTAAATAAACATTTTCTGTTAACATCAATTTTTTATTTATCTTTATATTATCTGAAAAGTTTTATCATACCATAGAATTGATATTCTCCGTTACATTACGATTTACTAATATTGTTGTAATGATAAAATTTGGAGATAAATTCATTTTGATTGGAAAATTTATATTTTATATACAACTTGTTTAAATTTTGTACATAAGTACACATACACAAGTCTTCTTATTTACAAGCAATATAAAGTAATATCTGTAAATGAAAAATAAATTAAAAAAAAATTCGAGCATGTCAAGTTAATTCTATGCAATTAAGGGCCGATGAATTAATTTCAAAATAAATTAATTATCTAGTTAAAAGTCACACAACATGTCTTTAAATACAGTAAAATTCTATGTCTCACATACATATGTTTACCTACATTCTTTGAACTTCATATTGCAGTAAAATCGTTCTTAAATCTTATTCTACTTAATTAATGCGCTTTTTAATTCGATTTGAACATACACAAGCATAAATTGGAGCATAAATTTCTGTGCTACAATTAAAAAATGTAAAATTATCTTAAATATTGTTATACGGGATATTCAGTAATATTCATTTCTGACTCTTTATATATATTACAATATAGGAACATATAATATTACTTTTGACTTTGATTATTATTCCATTTTTATTTTTTATGAATATTCAATAAATTCTTATTAAAGGAAATGAACTACAAAAACCAATCATTTTCTATTCTAATGAAATTCTAACACTTCAATCTCTAATGGTTTATTTTGTTTTTTGTTTTTGTTTTTTCTAGGGAATGTAACAGATTTTGCCCAACAAAAAATATATATAGGAGAAATAAATAAAAACTGTAAAAATAAAAAACTTCTTTTCCAGAAAATCATGTTACAAAATTGAACCAATTTCATTATACATACATTGTGCTTTGTCTTATATATTTGTACGCCATGAACTTACAAAAAGAATTTGAAAAACTACTACAACACTTCCAAATTAAGATATTACTTTGGTATTGATAAAAAAAAAACAGAATTGTAAATAAGAATCAATATAAATGAAAATATTCAGCATAACTTAAAATATTCGTCGTTTTTATGTATAGTATATAGGTATACTTTATGATGATAAAATATTTAAAACACGTAATTGTACAAACACATAACATTGTATATAATGCATAAATTCAAAATACACATATACCTAATGTATACATATACAAATATAACACTCGTATAATGATAATTTCATGCAACCCAATGTATATGAATATGTGTATAATTTTCAAAAAAAAAAAATAGTTGAGTATAAAAAGGATTTCATCGTAATTGAATACGATTAGTTAAATTTTTAAAGATCTCATTGACAGTTTGATACTTTGTACACTTATAAAACATCCACATACTGGTGTTTAGTACTTAAATGTACATTATAATATATAGAAGGGTTTTATTTGTACAATAAAAAAAAAAGAACAAAATTCAAGTACCAACTCAGTTGGGTATCTATGATTTATTTTAATACAGAAACGCACACATATACACATAGTGCAAATAAACCATAATATGCATATACATATAAAATAATTTAAAATAAAAAAAAGAAAACAAATTATAAAACAAGAAGGAGACATTAATAGAGCAGCACACAAGAGCAACAAAAATAATAAAAAGAATAAGCAAAAAATAAGAAGCAAATCAAAAAGTTGACATCAACATGAGATTATGCAAAAATTTTATTGAGATTTTCTTGATTATTTCAACATTTGGATTAAGTAAAGAATTAAATATTGATTTATCATCATCAAAAATATCAACATCATCATCTATGTTATCATCTATAGAATTGACATCACCATTACCATCATCATCACCATCATCATCATCATTATTAATTGAAAGACAACAACAAGAGAAAAAAATTCAACACAAGCATCAACAAGAACAACAACAACAGCAACAGTATGAACAATTAAATGAGAGAAAATTAAAAGAACAACTGCAACAGAATTTACAGCAAGAGCAAAATAATAATTTATCAAATAATATTATCAAAACAACAACAACAGCAACGAAAACATCAACAACAAAAAATATCAATCCTACTTCAATTATAATAACTACTACTACTACTTCTACTCCTTTTTTAACTACTGCTGCAACCACTTTATTTGATAATACTAATAACAATGATGATGATGATGATATTGATAATTCTAATGATGATATTGATTATAATAATCATTATACTGAATCTGATGTCAATGATTTATTTGTTGTAAATGAAACTCGTGATTCTAGATCACTTAATAGGCAATTTTTTATTAATAATCAACAAGGAGCTAATGTTATTAGGCCAAAAGATTATTCATATATTAATAATGATAATAATAATAATAATAATCATAATATATTCTATAATATATTAAATAATGGTAATAGAGATAGTATTAATAATATCGGTATTAAAAATTATGGTAATTTTTTATCTACACCCGATGATTGTAAAACAAAATCTGGTAATATGGGATTATGTATGAGACGTTTTGAGTGCATTATAAATGGTGGAAGTGCTTCAGGATTTTGCGGTACATTCGGTGTTTGCTGTGAAAGTATGTATAATATATAAATATATTTTCATATATTATGTATAATATTAACAGTATGTATATATGCAAATGCATATATCGTATATAATATTAATGTATTGTGCATTTATGAAATGATGGTGTTAAATTGAAAAATAATTAAAATGATTAATTATGATAAGTGAAAAGAAGAGAAAAGGATAATATAAACTATATAAAAAATAAAGAAGAGAGAGAAAGAGAAAAACAAAACGCAAGTGAACAAAAAAAGGATATGTTTTAAGTGCCAATTTTTTTTTTTTTGTTTTGTTTTGTTTTATAAAAGCAGAATAATAATATTTTTGTGAAAACTGAAAAATGAAAATTTAAATAGGTCTGAGAGAGGATAAATACAGACTATATGAAGTGTAATAGAGTTCTCCTTTTCAAACTTTTAATCATTTTCATTTTAAGGTCAATGATATTTTAAATATTTTTTTATATAGTGCGTACGCTTAGTCAGTTTTGTGTAAATTTAAATGAGTATAACGAATTGTATACTTTAATTTTAACAATTTTTATTTAAATAATTTTTCAATTCTTAGAGGTTTAAACAAGTTGATATATTTTATTTGATTTCTAATTGAAACATTGTAGTAAAAGTGACAATATCTTTTAGATAGTGAAGCGCACAGATATACTAAGTAGCAATTCTAAAATTCGCTAATAAAATAACTGACGCTTAATTCGTCAGTTTATTACAATAACGCTGCATAGTTAAATTTTTATTCTTTGTTTTTGTCTATTATTAGACTACTTAAATTAGTTTTTTGATTTCAAATAAATTTTTTTAATAAAATTTGTGTAAATTTTTTAATAAAATTGTGCAAAAGTTCGAGCACTTAGCATAAAATATGTAATATAGCAACTGATAAAATCTTAAAATTACTAATACCAACTGATTTGTTTAGCATATGTGTGTTTATATCATCATCATATCAGTTCTTGTAATATAATCAATTCTAAGCAAGCCTCTGTTTGCTACTCCAACCTTACACTTAACCTAGTTGTACCAACGCCGATCTCGGAAACTAAAACACGTATAAGTAGCAGCATATCTGTGCACTTCAACATCGATTCGGTATAACTGTGTAATTTTTAAGAAAAAAATTTAGAATTTAAAATTAAATTATACAAGATTTAAAGTAAAAAATTGGTACATAATGTGGAAAAATAGATTTGTTATACAAGAGAATTTATTATATTCGCTATAGAAAAAATTTAACTAATTATATTTGTTATACAAGAGTTAATAATATTAATTTATTAACAAAGCACTAAAACACATTTCGTTATAGCTTTTATTATATTGACAAATATAGTAATATTTTTAAGTATTACGTAAAATATTTGTACATATTAATATACATATTCAATTATTTTATAATTCAAACTTCTTAAATTCTAATATTACATATATTATTGAAACAATATAAATATCTAATGAATTTACATACTATACTTAATCCCTTTTGTTAATAATTTCAATCAAATTTTATGATAAATTTCCATTTTATTTAAGCAACTACAATATTTATATACATAATACATGTATATTATATACAAAAAAAAAATTAATATGAACTTATTAATATTATTGCATATTGCAGTAAATTTTCAATGTAATGGTATTTCAAAATTAAAAAGGACTATTATAAAAAATCCAACAATAATACCACAACAATGTACATATCATTTTCAATCATATAATTCAAATGTATGCCAATTAAGAATTGACTTTGATATGACATTAGCTCAACCAACAATACCGGATGGAAATAATGGCTTAGAATCAGTAACATGTCTAATGGATAAATTTAGTGTTGGAAATACTGTAATTTGTGGAACAAATACAAAACAACATAGTAAGTACATATATACATACATACACTATAGCTATACAAAAATATTTTATAAAATATAAATACAATTTCAAATACATTTTGGTTTTTGATAGAATTTTACATTGTACATTTTTAATTGTTTTGTTATTATAAGGTTTTTACGTATTCATATATGTATTGTGTAAATACCTCATGGGTATTATAAGATAAAAATATGTAAAAATTATTATAACAACATTTTCTATAGGAAATTGTATAATTGTTCAAGTGGAGTGAATAATTTTCATTGATTAATGTTATTAGAAGGAATTTATATATAAATATATATATTTGTACAACATCAAAGTAGAAAATAGAGAATTGAAAAAGGAAATTAAAGAAAAAGGATGGGTCATTTTGGTTTTTTCCATTTTTTTTCTTTTAAAAATAATTAGGCGATAATTTAAAGAAACAAAAAACTTAGATAACATTATTTAATTAATTTTGATCTGTGAGTTTTTGGAACAATTTCATTAAGTTTCAAATTGCAATCTATTTGAATTAAAATTTTTGATTGGTTTTTTTTCATTCATGAAATTCTTTGATTCAATTAAATACCTATTAGCGTGTCTTAAATGCTAAGTTTTAAAATCAATGTGATCTTCACTCTTACATATGCACTCTTCATTCTCAATTTTTTGCTTGTTTGATTCCAGATTAATAGAAAACTTCATACATTTAATAAATTCCGTTTAGGCATTAAATTTAATTCAGCAAGGTCAAAAATTACCATTGTATGAGTGTGAATGTATATACGTACAAAACTTTTTAAACTTGGCTATTTAAGATTAAAATTCAACATTTGTGTTACATACATAAACTTTTAATTTCCGGCATAAAAATTGCATATTTTTAGGGGTTTTAAATTTTAAATATTTTCTATATGATTTAAAATTTTTTTAACTCTAGAAAATTTTTAAATACAAATCTAGTTAATATCCCCTCAAGGAGTTGAACATGAGCCCCCATAAAACTGAAAAACCCGCTTCCAAATCTTGTGTACCTCTTCGCAGCCGGAGGAGGACAGCCACACAGAATAAGTGTTGTCGTCTCCTCGTCGTACTGACGGAATCTTCACAAAATGGAGTTCGATCGGTCCAATCCAAGCAGGGCCAATCTGAGGAAAGTGGTTAAAGAATTAAATACTTCGACACTAACATAATAACTCTAAAATATAACATTCAATACAAGTCATTAATATTTCAAAAAAAAATTGCAATATATTGTTTCTTGAAGAATTTTTGTTTTTTGAAATTCTAATAGCAAAACTCTTAATATAAATATGTAATCGTTTATGAATTCTGATATATTTACTCCATTAAATTATAGACAACAGTACCATACTATCTACAAAATTTCAAAATAAATAATTGTAATAAATTGTATTACTAAATTACAAATTAATTTTCATATTGCTAACATTTATAAAGTAATATAGGTAACTTCCTTTTTTAAACTACTATACTTTCTTTAAATAAATACTTGAAATAAATTGAAATTTTATTTGATTTTAGATTTAAAGTGCAAAAATATAATTTTGTTATACTATATGGCAATATACTGCACTAGTTATTGTTTGTTATATAAATATGTAGGCAAATGAATACATAATATAGGTCCCATAATTTAATATGTCAACAACATTTTCATGTTCGTTTACCTTTAATATTAACCCTATACATCACTCAGGATATACCTTTGTTTTGGCATACAATATATATAATAACCATTACATATTAAAAAACGTTTGTATAAATGCTTATACTAGTACCAGTACAATGTATAATAGGTCTTTGTAAAAATATTTTGCATGCAATATATCACTTTTATATACACTATATCTATATAAGTATGTAACCAAGTTTTGAAAATTATCTTATTGGAAATTCTTATACATATCTATATAGATTTGTTTTTCATGTTATTTTTGTTTTTGCAGTTTACTTTCCATTTGATGCAAAAAATCAAATTACTGATATTTCAATAGAATTTAAATTGGCTGATCGTTTAAAGAATACAGAATTAAGTAATCCATTTTGGAATATGATAGTAACACAATTGGAATGCCCACCATCAAGATCAACCTCATCATCATCATTATTATCAACATCATCAGCATTATCATCATTACAAAATATATTTTATAATAATAACAGAAATCAAAACAAAAATCATCAAAAATCATCATCAACAAATAATAATGAAGGAATGTTATCATATTTTACTCAACAATATACAAATTTACCAGATTTAAGAACATTATTTTTGAGGCCAAATTATTATGCCGATGTTGATTTGTTGGCACCGCCCGGATGTTTACAATATTTTACAAAAAGACAAGGAACTTTTGAATCATTTAATTTTAATATGGGTAAAGGACCATATATGTCAAATATGCGATATGGAATATGCTTTAAGCGAACACCCTTAGATCATAAAATACGGTAAGAATATAATGTACATATTATGTATGTATGTATTTCTCTTAAGGATGATAATATAATATTGTATATTTTATAATAACAAAAATATATAATACAACAAATAAAAATATAAACTAGTGTAAGAATAATTTTCTATAAAGACAACAAACAAAATGAAAATTTCGATATTATTAAAGATAGATGTCTCTGTATGTCTCCTTTAATATACGTATAATATTATTATGTTTTTGAAAATTTTTGGTCTGTAATTTTCTGTTTTTGTGCATTAAAAATATTGAAACAGTGATAGGGTTGTACAAAAATTTTTGTTTTATGTCTTTTTGTGTTAAAGAAAAAAAAATTATATTCTTTTTTTTTTGTCTTTTTTCTTTGCTTTGATTTTCTCTTCTTTTTTCTCTTTTGCTCTGTTTATAAATTGTTGTTCTCAATATTTTTGGTTTATTGTATATAGATAAAGTGAAAGCATAAAGTACAATAATTTAATTTCATACATGCAGGTACAGTGATCCTATAAAAAATGTGATTTTTTTTATGTTTAACAACTCTGTTTCATACGATTCTTGGCTTTTGTCTCCGATTATTCAAAGCTTTTTGACATTCAAAAAATGACTTCAAATTTAGAAAAGCTTGGATAATGCATTACCATTAACAATTCGGATTTCACTTGCAGCCTAATCGTGTATCTCGCTTTTTCTTCTCTCCTTTTAATCAATTCCAAACCTGAATTCTCCGTTTTTCTAATGGATATTTAACTTTTTCAATAAGATTACACATTTTTTCATTAGGGTTTTTTAAATATTTCTCAAATTTCTGACTGAATTTCTGACACCTTCAAAAGGAAGTGAATACATTTCAGGAAAAAAACGAGATACACGAAATAATTCTACTAACTCGAAAATAACACTATACAAATATATGAAAATTACCCATTTTCTTCTCACTTGGCGAGTAAAATAATCTAACAAGAGCGATGTAGTTAACATGGTGCGAGAACCGTTCTTTTATAATAATTTTAAGTAAATATACTAAATAACATATAAACCTGTAAATGAGAGGGATTTTCGATAATGGGAGTGCTGATTAAATTTTAATTTTTGTATTCAGTGAAATTTTTAAAAACTTGTCAAACTTCAATAAAAATTTCAGGTATTCTGTTACTCACTGTACTATATATTTCTTTCCGATTCAAGTCCTTTTGTATTTATGGTTTTACAATAATATTATGTTCACAGTACGTACAATACTGTTCATACATACTTATTATTTATTTTGTATAAAGTGCGGGAAGATGGACATAAAGGAAAATTTAATAGTTCATGACTTTAGGCGAATAAAGATTTACAGTGTAGAAGGTACAGATGTATATGTGATAGATTTTTTTTAAAGAAATATCATTTTTTTGTCGTCTGAAGATTGGAAATTTCTATATGGAAAAAAAAAGAAATAAATAATTTTCTTTTTTCTTGTGCATTCTAGGTAGTTATAGGATTTTGTTTTTTGTTTTTGCTGTTTTTGCTTTGTTGAATACCGGAAATATGTACGTATTTTTTTTTACCTATAATGTGGCATTGTACAAATCGTTTCGTATATGAAATATAAAATATGTGTACAATCACATGCTACATACATATATGAAAACGATTATAAAATATGTAAGATAAGGTTATGTACAATAGAAATTTTGCCCTGTTTTTCTAGATATTTATGGTATAGAAGATTTTCTTTTTTGTTTTGCCTAAAAGGCTTAAGGTCAATTAAAGTGACCTTAATCTGGTTTTTTGTTTTTTTTTCGTTTTACTTGCCAGTTTATTGTAAAAATTTATTGTTAAAATTTATTGTAGATATCTTGTATAAATAATTTTTGTTTTTTTTTTACAAATCATATATTTAATGTGCATAGCATGTCTAGTGATTTCAAGCGAAATTCTTTTACTAATAATATTTTTATTGTAAAAGTATCATTTAATACGGAAAATTTATATAATAGAAAAGAAATAGTACTTAATAGGTTAAATAAATTTCTCGGATTATTGCGTGTAATTTTTAAATGATAACAAGTCTATAATACTTTATAGACAAGTTCCATTGCTATAACAAAAATTGACATTGTTTCTAGTTTTATTTTCTAGTGTAAAGACAATGAAAATGTTTTCTTTTATAACATTATATTTGGAATATTTTTTTAATATAAGGAGAAAATAATTTTTCAGGATAACAAATAAGAATAGCAAATTGAATTATTATTATTTTATATATATATATATATATATATAGATTTTCATCGGAGACATTTCAAATTGGTGCAGCATCTGATACGAGTAATTTTGTAGATATTGATTGTCATGATATTGTTGCAACACCGAAAAGATCAAATGATTATCTAACTATACCTGAATCAGTTCTGGAATCTGATATAGAAATGTTTGGAAATTATTATTGTGGTACAAGTTTGCGAGATGACATAACATGTAAGAATATATTCTTTTATCTATAGAAGTTACTATTTTTTACAAAGACGTCCCCTTTAAATGTTATTGAAATTGCATAGTCCCAATTAAAATTAAATAAATTATTTATTCAATTTACACTCGCTGCACATATTTTAATAATCTTTATTATTTGAATTTCTAATACATTTTAATTTTCAAAACAGATGCACCACCTGGCCCATTCGTAATTTATTTTAATAGTGACAATCTTTTTTCGACACTAGTACCAGAAGTTGGATTTAAAATAAATTATGTGATTCAATAGATGGCTGATTTTAATATGCTGAATTTTCGTACAGAATATATACACAAAAATACTAAGTAATAAGGACAATAATATTTAATATATTTTTATAATATTAGAATTTGTATTTTAATTAAATGAATAAAATTTTATTTGAGTAACTTTTAATATTTTAAAAATCAAAATTTTTCCGAGTAAGTGTGTTGTAGAGTAAGATGTGAAGTACAAATTGTACTTATGGTACTTTTGTTTCTGTGCATGACGAATTTAAAATAATTCTTTCTAATGGGAACGCAAGATTAATAAAAGACGAACATAGCCTTTGATTACATCATTCATCTGTTCTGCAGTTGCATAAAGAAATTTCCATTAAGCCCTTATTTATGTTGATATTTGATTTTATTTGCATTTGAATTTGTATAAAAATTAATAAAACATCAGGTTGTATAAAAATAGGAAAATCTCAAATATGCGGATTCTTTTTTGGATATACAAGGTACCGCACTTTGAATTAATTTATCAGCACTTTTAATTATTTTTTTAGCACATTTCCGCAAAAATTTGTGTGCAATTTATTTTAATTTATTCTCATTTATTTTTTTTCACATTCAATGCGGTACGTGTATAAATTTAAAATGATTGTATACAATATATTTTGTATTTGTACAATATAACATTAATCAATGATAAAATTAATATTGTAAATAAAAATTAAATAAAAATATTTAAAATAATTTAATAAATAAACAATTTAATAAATTTAATCATAAATACGAGTTATGGCTTTTTTATTGTTATTTTTAAGATTTTCGATTATAAATTTATAATTTTTAATTAAATGTTGCTCAAAAAATAAATGAATATAAATATATTAATGAATTCATGTTCTCAATATTTTCCCCGTATATTTTTTTTCTAAATGTAATTCATACATACATATGTATGTGTGAGTATTATAAATGGCACACAATAGGCATTTATAGGGAAATTCATATAATTCATATTTCCCATGAGACAAACTTAATAACATTATCATTTTTATAGAGACATTATTATGTATGTATGTACATGTGTCATATTATAATTTGACTTTTATATTCCTATGTGGTGTCATAAAGATTAAAATGAATATTGTGCTTAATTATTTATTTAGCGTAATTTATTTATTTTTATCAATTATAGAAATCAGCACACTAAAGTTATAACCCAGAAGTAGAAGTTATAAAAAAACGATATTTACTGACTAAAACAACTAAAATGGTTTAAATGATCCGAGCAAGCTTCTAGCTTGAATTCGAAGTATTTCTCATCACTTTTTTAATTTATGATTCTAGTTGTTTAATCTTTCCCTGCAACAACATGCTTATTCTTATTATAATTTGCAAAAATTTATTGAGGACTATTTTCTAGGAAGAGTTCAGGTCTGTAATAGAAAGTATTTAGTCAATTATAGAACTGTAATAAAAAATTTTTATATAAATCTCATATCAGTTTTGAAAATTAATTTCATATCTTAATTCATGTGTAATTTATTGAAAATTATTAAAAGATTTTCTTTTTTCAGTAAACAAAGAGAAGTCTAATGAAAAATAAATAAATTTATTGAATTTAGCTTCCATTTCAATTACCTATTCTCACAATGAATTAACAGTCACAGTTTTAAAACTCTGTTCTGTTCAGTTATTGAACACGCTCGATATTATCGTTTTCATATTCAAATTTTGTTAGGTCAAGTGTAGCCATTTGAATAATTTATTGAGACTAGACTTAACAATATATTTGCTCAAGCACTGAATTTTGGTGCTCTCAAAATTATAAGAATTTATCTATCAAAAAATTGATAATTTTTAGTGAACTGGGTACAAGAAAATTAATTTTACTAAAATATTAATGAAAATAGTTCATCGATTTGGGTATTGTTGAATATAAAATTAAATTGAGTTGCAAATTATGGGTATAAATTCATTTTCAAAACATGCCTTATTATTATATAACAAATATTTTGGTTAGATATGAGTGTGTGAGCATTTAATACAGATATGTCACAATATTGTAATTTTGTCAATGTTATTTTATTATTTTGAAGATTTTTTTAGTATAAAAAAAACAAACGATTTTTCTTTCACTTAACGATTATTTAAAGAGGGTACACTTTTTTGTAGGACATTTTTTTCCCGTGACATCTTTATTGTTTATTTCTTACAAGATGCCTTTTTTTTACGATGAATGCCATTTTTGCGTTTAATCTGTCTTATATATTCAACTACTTATATACATTATGTATTTACAGCAGAACCTAGGTATTTTGAAAATTTCAATTTTTTCTATTTTATAAACTAAATGAGCTTCTTTCTATCTTGCAAAATAATGCAAGATTAAAGAAGCTCATTTCATAATTCTTTCAAAAATGGCAAAATAATGCATAGGTAACCCACAACGCTAAAACCAAATAATTAGGGGAATCAATTAATCTCTCATTTTCGTTTCAGTTTTCCTCTTACCCAGGTTTAACTGTATATAATTACATAATATACGGATACAATATATTCTTATAATGTGTGCTAACGTATATACTTTTAAGACAATATTACGTACAGATTTTTTTATTTTATGACTAATTCATACACATGTATACGTGTTGAATATTATACGATTTTTTTTTAAACTGTGTGACCATATCACTTTTATAGGATGATAGTACAGGATAATGGCACACAAAACAATTCATAATGAACAAAGAAGATTGATGATGTGTCTCAGATTCCATGTTATATCTATGTGTATCTATACGTATATTTCGCCTTTTTGTTTTTTTTATATTATATTTTCTATTTTGCGATCTAAATATATTAAGGATAATGTATGTATATTTATGTATAATAAATTGCTTTTGGGGTTTTTTTTCTTCTTTAAAAAGTTGAAAAGGGAGATATTTTCCGTACACAAATACAGTTAATACAAAACTGAAGAAAAATAGGAAAAAAAAAAGAGAAATTACATACTTATATAAGAAAACAAACGAAAATTATATCATTTTACCAATTTAATCTGAAGAAATAGAAAAAATGAAAAGAAAAACAATGGTTCACTTTAATAAACTTATAGGGTAAATAGAACAATATCTAACTGTTATTGTAATTTTCCCAATTTGAACTCGGTTATAGAAATTTGGAAAAATATTTTGTGCTAGAATATGGTGGGCAGTAACGAAAAAATCATTGTCGTCAAATTATAACAAATAATTAAAATAATTTTTTCTTTACTACTAAACAAAAAGGGTATACCATTTTCTAACTAGTATACCACTATTATCAGAACATACTTTGAAAATTTTCAATACAGACAAAAGTAATACAGAATTTGCTATAGATTTGAAATTTTATGAAAAAGCTAATTTTAATATCTTGCTCCCAGCAAATTTCTTCTCTACAATTTATAAGTACTTCTGCCTAAACTAACAACAAATCTCTTACCGTGTTTGTTTGAATTCGTTTTAAGTGCATTGTAATTATTAATTTTATTCTAATATTAAGATAAAATTGTCAAATTAAAGAATTATTAAAAAAAAGAATTTATTTTAAAAAAAATTTCCATCGAATTTCTGTCTATTGGTGATAGTCAAAAATTGATAAATTTTACCCTAAACATTATAAGAGAAAAGGGGTATGATTTGATTTTTTTTTTCGGTAGAATACAAAATATGGGCATATTATATGTATACGACACCCATTATATTTAACACTATGTCACCCATTTTTACATCATTCTCATTTATATTAGAGAATATTGTGATATAAAGAATAAAAAATTTTTTCTTCATGCAGTGTGTGTATGTTTTTTTGTTTCAGATAAAATCTTTTTAGATTTTATAATATAAAAACAAATATTATTCTCTCTTTTACGACTTTTCAATGATTGTTCACATACAATATAATAATACGCACATACACACATATTTAAGGCAGTACAATGATTTTTTCGTTTTGTTCAAATGTTTGCTTTAGTAAGAAAATAACATTTTTTACAGAAACTTTTTTTTACACGTATTTTTTAACTTACCAATTGATGTTTTTCCAAAGTATAACAATACGAAAACGAAAATGAAAAAAAGGAATTATAGAAAAGTAAAATATTTTGAGTGATTTTTAGTGATATCCGCAGCGCGTACGATTTTATGGTGAAACGAGGGTTTGAACGAGAAAAATGTGTAATACAATACGGAGTATAATAGATTCATATAGATATTATATTATATTTAATAAGGTTATTCTACGAAATTCACTGAATTTAATATTTTCGAAATTAATTTAAAAGATTATTAAGAAATCAAGAGTTTTGATTTTGAATTGCATTATTTGAAATATGAATTACAATATAAATTCCCCGTATATAAATGAAAATTAAATAAATTATTATTGCAGATTCAAAGCCTATAAATTGTTAAATCCTATTATATAAATTTTATTAACCATAATTTTTGTGTTCGTTATATTAGATGAAGTGTGGCCTTATTTAAGAATGTTGTTATGAGTCAAATTGCAAAAAAAATGTATTAAATCTAAGGGTTATATTGTAAAAACTGTATATAAAGTTGAATAGCTTAATGATTTTATCAAGAGAATGGGTATAAATGCAGAAGAATGCAATGATAATGAGCTCGAGAGTCAATTTTAAAATCATAATAGGAGCCTATAATTTAACCTATTCTTGTATTTATGGGGTTTATAGAGATTAGAATTGTGTTTTAAAGATAATGATGTGCGTGAGGTGCGGTAAATATTAATAGAATAATAAAAATTTGAATAAAACTAGAAATTCAAAATCTCATAAATTCTTTTTATGAGTCTATATGAATCAGATTAAATTTATATTTAAAATTTGCATTCGCCAATCTTTTATTAGTTCCCTTCAGCTTTTTATTATCTATAACTACTGTTTAATGCTATTAAACCAGTATTCTTTTTGTACTGTTGCAAATTTTCTTTAAATTTTCGAAAATATTTAATAAATTTTATTTCATT